ACACCCGCCAAGCACAACGCGGGAAGAAACACAGAGTGGGAGGGAGAGAGAGAGAGAGAGAGAGAGAGAGAGAGAGATACACAGAGAGAGAGAGAGACAGAGAGAGAGACAGAGCAGACGACAAGCACCGATGCCCGCCAAGCACAACATGAGAAGAAACAAAGAGAGAGAGAGAGAGAGAGAGAGAGAGAGAGAGAGAGAGAGAGAGACATGAAAGAAAAATGAGACGCCATCAGCGAGTGTTGTTGTGCGCCGTGGCGGGTTCCACTTATTCTTTTAAAGACAAATCAAAGAGTTATTAAACTTGGGATATTTAACAATTTAGGACGACTGGGCATTGTTTCTAAGTTGAATGGTCTAGTCATACGCCAAAAGAAGAGAAAAATAGTTGTGCAACCTGTTCGTGTATAATCTAAGGCATGCTAGGCATTGTTTTGAATGGTCTAGCGCCATGCCCTATGTAAGTTGGGTATAAGGGATAAATCATCTGAGGGTTTTATGAACTACCTTATATAAAAATGACTTGGGGTTTGGTGAGAGTACTTACCCATTGTGGTATGGACTTGCATGTGGTTGAGCTTGAGCTCTGCTTAGTCTGAGTGCCAACTTTGATAGGTCGTTGCTTTAGATGCTCTCCATGTGCTGGAGTTGTAGGGGTTAGTTCAATTCCTGCATTTTCAGAGTTAAGTTTATTTTACTTAGTTCAATTCTTGCATTTTGTGGGATCATTTATTTTACTTGGTTCTGTATAAATTTTGGAAAGTTACTTTCTCTATGGGAAGCGATGCCAAAATTTCTACGAAACCAAGGAGTTAGTCAAATTTTGACTTTTCAAGGTTCAACTTTGTCTAAGTTTTATATTTGGCTTAGTAAAAATTTGGAAAGCCTTCCTTTCTAGGGGAAGTGTTGCCCGAATTTTTTCTAATTCAGGGAGATTAGACAAAATCTGACTTTGGGAAGTCAGAATCATTTCAGATTTTGTATTTAGCTTTGTATAAATTTTGGAATAACACTTCTCTAGAGGAAGTGGTACCAAAATTTTTGCAAAATTTAAGGAGTTAGTTAAATTTTATCTTGGCAGGAATTCAAGTTAAAATCTTGAGTTCAAATCTGACTTAATATAAATTTGAGAAGTTTATCTCTCTAAAAGAGATGCTGCCCAAAGGAGTTAGACAAAATTAGACTCTCTAGAGTTAAAGGTCATTTCAATTTTCATATTTGGACGAGTATAAATTTTTAAAGGTACTTTTCCTACGGGAAGCGTTGTCGAAATTTTCTTAGTTTAAAGTTGTTAAATTATATTTTAATAGGGAAGGTTATGGCGATCCACCCTGTATAGGGGAGATGCTGCCAAAAGTCTTCCTTTCCGTGGGCACTTGCTTAGAGGTAGATTTAGACTTAGCTATGGGAAGATTTTGAGTGAAAACGTGATATGGGGGTTCGTTCTCCATACACTTATAGTCTAGCTTTGGGTAATTGCTTGTCATGTGCTAGAGGTCCTCTTTAAACATCTTGAATCAGGATTGGACTAGTTTCAGCTTGATCCTATGAGGATTAACCTTTTGTTATCACTGATTACAGGTCGGTTGTCGATTCGTCGGTTTATGACTCAATTCTTACTTGTTCTCGCCACTCAACCTAAAGGCTTTAGCCCCTGTGGTTTGAATTGTTTCCTTGGGTTTTTACCTGGACTTTATTGAATGACCATTTAACAAAGACACTATTTTATTATGGAAGGTTGGACAAAGGTTGGTTTAGCTAAAGCGAGGGGTATGAGCGCAGAGAGGTTGAAGTTGACCCCGTGTCGTGCGTGGACTACTGGTTGAATCTTTGATGTGATTGCAGGTATGACTATGGTTCAAACACTTGATTTGAACTGCCCGCAATCACATATATATATTTTTGAAGGAATTCGCCTTGTGATTGTGAGAAGTGATCGTCTCCTGTTTTGTATCCCTACATATGTATATATGTACATATTTGAGTATTCGCGCGGTCTATTGAGACCGTGCGTAAGGATCAAGCGGATTTGGCTTGAGAGAAAAGAGAGATCCCTCTTTTGCCTTTGTTTTTTGGAATTTTTATAGTTGGACGTTGATGTCCGTGGTAGTCGTCAAAGTCAAACCCCTTGACGTCTTTCTAGGCCTTAGATGATGGGGCTCGTCTTCATGGCCATAAGGGTAGACTGCCACTATAGGCTGGAACATGTATACCGCCACAGGGTGCAGAAGAGGGTGTGGTTCTCAACCGCCTCGGCGGTTATTTAGCGTCGAGAGATTAGCCCCTCAAGGCGTGTGTCAGCCGACACTCGAGACCATTGAGGGCCACGCGATTATGGTACTACATAGTACTCCATCGTTGTAGCTGCTTGCGTATTCAGGCATGGCTAGTCGATATGAGTAAGCATGCGTTCGCGCAATGTTTATTCTAAGTTTCTCACACGACGCTCAACCGATTTTTATGTCGAAAGGTTATGGGTTAGATACTGAAGAACTAGGAGTGTTTTTTTTATGTGAGTAACTTGATTCTATGTTTTTGGCGTGGTGTAATGCATGGTTAGAAGGATGCGTCCTAGTCGACCGGTGACGAGTCACGCTTGGGACTTCAGCCCCCAGCGCGTCGATTCGCATACGAGAAACGTCCCCGGTTGGGCCACCTCTGCGATTGCAACTGATTAGCTTTCGCGTGTGGTTTGGTAGCTCGACGAGGATACGCCCGTTCAAGCGTGGTGACAACCCCTTAGGCGGAGGTAAGTTGTACCTCGCATGGCCCTATCCTATCGTAGGGGTTCTCGAGAGGTATGGCTGGTGCACTCGGCCGGAGCGGCGGCGAAGCTCCATTGCACCGCGATATAAAGTCCAGCATGAAATCTTGCGTGACACGACCGGGAGGGTCCCCCTGCGGGACCGATGCGCTCGACAGCAGTACTCTCGATTCAGGTCACAAATGGTGGGCTCTATGTCGGTCGTGAACCGCACGAGTTCCTCAGCGTCTACGTCAACACAAGGCGTATGTGTGGACTTGTAAGTGGACGGCGGAGGAACCTGGGATGTCGAAGGGGTATCCGCAGGTTGAGGGGTGTATGTAGAGACGGGAGCCACGAAAATGGAGGAAGGGTTAGGGGGATCGGGCTCCAAGGAGATGAGCTCAACGTCTGTACGGAGGGGATCGTACTAAAGAAGATCCATGATGTGCACCGAGTAGAGGGTGATGTCCTCCTTATGAACGATGTGAGCGAACCCACGGGGAGTGGTGAAGGCAATGTCCAGGTGGGACCCGGAAGGACGAGGGTCCTGGGGAGGTAGGTGGCGAGGGGTGTCGTCCGTGGTGCCAAGGAATGAGACGCTATAGGTCTGACCACACTTCGTTTTGAGAACAAGTGTTTCGGTTGCCTATTCAGCCTTTGTGCCACGAAACTTGCTAGACCAAGGAGTGCCAAGGATATTACCCAGTCTCCAACACGTCGAAGTATGCAGAAGAATGGTAGTGTTGAGGCGCCTGGATATTATCCGATGGCTGAAGGGTGAGGGAAAAGTGGAGCTCGGGGACCGTCTGATCGAAGAAGCGCTGCGTCTTATTATCTTTGAGGGTAACGGAGATAGGAGAGTGAGACTCGGAGGTAGCAAGACGAGCTTCCCCAACCACGCGAGGGTGAACGAAATCTCCCTGCGAGTCGGAGTCCCATAAAGCGCGGTACACCCGCATAGATGTCCCCAAGCGAATGGGAATGATGAGGAGGGTGCGATTAGGGTCAGAGAGTAGAGCAAGAAGACGACGCAGGGTGTTTACGTGTCTCGTGAGTCCCTCCTGACGAGCCTGAAGGATGCTCAAATTCAGGAGAGATGACACAACGTCATCACAAGTCGCCAATTGAGTGCTACAATGAGTTGTGCGAATGGCGCGACGCATCGGAAGCCTCGGGGGGGAAGTACTAGATGCGGACGGTACCTCGACAGTCGGCGGGGCAAAGGGAACTGCGTTTGTCGTTTCCTGAGGATCCCCTGGTGTGGTAGCCAAAGAAGCAAACCGCAACTTGGTGGTCGGGAAGCCGGCTACGTGCGAGGCCTCAGCGGTACAATGACCGTGGCTAGTTGGATGGGACTGGCCGGGCGGGGCCGGGGAGAGATTGAGATCGACGCTGACGAGAAATGTTAGCATAGTGTCGATGGAGGGCGGCTTGGTATGGACACCGTGAGGAGGTGTGTCTATCCTGGCGACAATGAAGACAATCGGGATGGGCCTCGAGAGCGGCTCACTCATCAGGGGATAGGGGTCCGTGAGGAGGGACGAAACCCTGCGGGAGGTCCACCTGGGGAACAACGAACGTGCAGGCGCCAACCTGTGCAAGCCGACTGCGAGCACGACCCATGTCGGACATCGCCATCGGGACAATCTCGTCGACCAAGTGGTATTAGATGACATCCTGAAGCTCGAGGTCCTCAGGGGCGTCCCCAAGGGTAGGGTCGACCTCTGCCGTAGAGTCGTCGCTGTACTCGAGGGAACTGAAGCGCCGAGAGAATGGCGCTCCAGGCTAAGCTGAGAGGCGAAAGCGGCCGGTGAAATAGGAACGACCTTGAGTGGTGCCAAATGACTGGGTGGTGGCGGCGGGTCACGAAGAGGACGGGGCGTTGAAGAAGCGACTCTGCATCCTCTGGTACTGTCGAGCAGCCTCGTAGGCCTGCTCTGTCAGAAGACCCTCTGGTAGGAGCTTCTCATCGCAAATAAGGTGGGCGTCCTAAAACACCCGGACGTGACGCTCCGGGTCTGTCGGTGCGGAGGACTCAGGCCATCGGGTCTGGGTGACCCAATCTAAGGCGTCGGTCGTGTCGTGCTGAGCGCCATAGCGGTCCTGAGGGAAGGTGGTGAAGTCCATGAAAGTGGGAGCCTCACTTGTGCGAGTACGATGGATATGATAGTTCTCCCATGCGGTGAAAGCGCCGCCTCACAATTTAGTTGCGAGTAGAGAGCACCACGACTCCTGACTAGTGTTCGTCAATGTCGGTGTGTGGGTGGGTGTCTGCAACAATTCGACACGCGAAGTGTGCCATCATAGTCGAGTATATATCCGACAGCCGCACAAGAGGGGGGGGCGTTGTGTTGACGACAAGGGGAGAGAGGTTGAGATGTCCGCACTCCGGCAGCAAATATCGGGGCTGGTGCAGGGGTGGAAGTGAAGACACGTTGTGGGACGTGGCTGCTGCTGGTCTAGCAGAGGTGGAGGCAATGGACACAGGCAGCTGTGACGAAGTGGCGAGGTAGGAGGGTAAAGTCGGAGGAGCAGGCCGAGGGAAACGAGCGTGCAAGACCAAAGTAGGAGTAGTGAAGGAAGATGAAGGGTGAGCAGCCTGTTAAGGGAGTAGTGAAGGAAGATGAAGGGTGAGCAGCCTGTTAAGGGTGAGGCTGTCTCAGGGTAAGTATCTCCGCCTGGAACTGCTCCACGGTGGCCTGCAAGGTAGTCACTCGCTGGGTGCGCGGTGTTGGAGGTGGAGGAGTCGGAGAGGGTACCCTAGTAGGGGGAGGAGTAACGAACTATAGGGAGCCCTGAGGTGGGAGTGAGGGGATAAGAGGAGGGAGGGATCCGGACCGTAGTGCCGCGACTGGTGCGGGAAGCTGGGAAGCAACATTGGGATGGGTAGATGAAACTGCTTGGCCAGGTACCGGTATCGGTCGGCAGCATCTAGAGCAGTGGCCGAAGCAGCAGGGGAGGCGAGGGACGATGAATGGGCCGCAACAGACGGTATGGTCTGAACGGCAGCGGCACCCATTGCTGCGGAGGGGGAGTGTTGGGCCTGACCCGCAGGGAGGAGGAACCACCACGTCTCTGTCTCTGGAGTCGTGGAGAACCGGATTTGGAGCCGGTGGGGGATGGAGTGTGAGATCGGTGGGGGGAACGATGAGGAGATCCCTTGAGGCAGTTGACGTCAAGGGTGAGCGCATTGAGTTGCGGCTATATGGGTCCAAGCACATCGAGGCACGCTTGAATTGGTGCGAGGAGGGCCGCAAGGACGGCCTCCAAGTCCATAGGGGCTTGACCGAGAGCTGTTGGCTGAATTGGAGCCTGAGAGATGGATGGCGCTCAGCGATCTCCTCAGATGTACTCTCGCCCATGTGCGGTGGATGGATGGGAGTAGACATGGCGGGAGGCAGAGAAGGAGGTGGGGAAAGAGATGGGCTGGTGTGTGGAGAAAGAGGCCCACTAGTGATAGGGAGGGGACTACGGGAGTGGAGTGGGTAGTAGTGAGTAGGCGCACTCCTTGACCAGCGGGTCACGTGTGAGAGGGTGGCGTGAAGCCGGTTGAGGGGAGAGGATCCATTCGGGTCCAGGGTGCCCGACGGGAGGAGGTGGGAGGGGGGGGGGAGGAGAACCCTAAACCTTAGAAAAAAACTAAGAAAAAACTAACCGAAGTTTGGGGGGTTAGAGTCGAGTAGCGGTGACCTAATCAAGAAAAGAGAATAACAACCATGGAGGGGAGGGGGAAAGAAAAATAAATAAATTGTGAATTTTCGAGATTGCGAGGCTCAAGGCCTCGATCTGCCCTATTGGGCCCTATTTTCTGTATGCTCGGCCGCCCTAAGTGAAGGCAGGCTCGACCCAGGGCCTACACCCCTGTTTTGGGGTCACCACGCGACTAGGTAAATTCAGGCAGTTGCGCAGCGCCAGTTGGTTGAGAGCGCCCAGGCCGAGGCTGCCTCTTTTTGAATGTAACCCAGGCAGGCCTTGGGCCAGATTCGCAAGATGGACCGAACACAGGCCGCAAGTAGTTGAACGCGAGCAAACACCACAGGCCCAGGGCCTGATTCGTTTGGATTGGGGCTCAACCTCTTTGGTCCTACCGGAAGCTTCTGGGCAGGGACCCAACGCAGCCAAGCTGCACGCAAGGCAGGCAGGCCACTTCCATTTAGGAAAGGGCCTGCCCACGCATTGAGTATTCGGGCATTGGCTGCATGCTGCGCAAGCGCTGCTGCGCTAACGCTGGCCAGCGCTCACTCGCTCACGGGCGAGCTGGAAGGAGCAGGCAGCCATAGCCGAGCTGCACTGCTGTATGCTGGATGGGGCGCATGGTGATTCTTGGGTGCATGTGGCATCTGTGAGTTGGGGATCGAGGTTGTGAGTGATACGAGAGACATACCTGGTGCTTGAGGCGAACGACATTGGCTGAGATCTGCTCGTACTTCGGGTAGTTGTTGACGTCATCAGCGACATTATAAATAGGCTAGATAGGATCTGCCATTTGTAGTCTGGGCGCCGAGCGCCAGATAGAATATCGACATTGGTTCTTCGTTGATGATGATGAGACTATTCCAGCATTGCCAATTATGAGCTTTTGTTGTGCTCTTATTTGGTGGAACTCGTGATGCAATTCTGATATTGGTTCGAGGTCACGACTATCTGGTCTCATGTGTATAATACTGTTTGATTTCTGAAGCTTGCTATCGCTCATTTTCCTTGCAATTTGGTATCGAAGCTGTGGTACGTTGCGCTCATCTGGCGCTTGTCTTCTGCCTATGCAGTACATGCATGCGGTATGCTGGGCGAGCTACCGTAGGGAGCGTGTAGTGAGGAGGGCAAAGGCAAGTAGGTGACCCAGGTGGAGAGGGGATCACCAGGAAGGCTAAGTGGTGAATATTGGGTGCTCGCAGTGTGATGAGAACTATCTGGTGTGCGATTGATGCTGAGGTGGAATGGCGGTGTAATGCTGGTTGTGCCGAAGCAACAATTGGTCATCACAATCAACATTAGGTCATCTGGTGAGAATATCTGTGGTTGGGGGCAACTATTTTGAGGTACGTTGCACCTAACCGTATCTACCCTCTTCGACACTTCTTACCGTGAGGATGTGTGTTCTGTCTTGAGAGTCCTCTCATGTGAGGAGTCGAGTGCGCTCAACCTTGAGAGTCGTCAGTGTTCATGCGGAGCATTTGGAAGGAGAGGGCGGTGCTATCTGAAGGGCCCTGGACGAAGCACTGGGTCACGGTCACCATGCCAACCCACCGGGAGTAGAGCACGCATGCTTTGCTTTTTTGTCCTTTGTCTGCTCGCTGTGCTATAGAGGGTTTCTGAGGGGCAGGCCAGCCCTATGGGAAAGACAAGTACCGGACGTCGATAAATAAGTATCGGCGGGGACCTTCCATTGGCTGTGATCGTCGTCCTATCTGCGACGTTAAATAATTCCTGACGACTTCGGGGGCCGTCCATAAAAACGCCTCCTGATCAGCCAATTGGTCGGTGTAAGGCTCGCTGCACGCGAGGATAAAGATGATGCAGGGCTGGCCAGCTCAGCAGGACTCGGGGCACAGGGGTGGGCCGTGTGCACACCTTTAGACACGCACGCTGTTCCGGATTGCTCAGGGACGTTGACGACAAGGGACATTCAGGAAGAACTGAGGGAGGGGTAGATTCCATGTGATAAGTTTGGGAAAGATTCCACTGTGCAAACAGCCAATCAAGTGGTTTTGTTTGTATTTTGATTAGTCAGATGTACAACCATTAACATATGACAGACAACATAGTTAGAATTGTTTTTGTTCATTGTGCTTTCTGTTTGCGAACTAGTCATAGTCAAGATGGTTTCGTTTATAGGAATCTGAACTTACCTGTTGGACCCAAATGTTTATACTCGTACTTAGCGTCCGATTAATTATTTTAATTATTTTAAATTGGTCTGTGCATTATGCTGCGGTAGGCATCTAGAGTGTGACCTAGTAGATTGTGTACAGTTCTCTAGCATATGAGCGACAGACAGACCACTAGCGAGGACGACAGGATCTTGCGATCAGCTAGACGCCCAATAGCCCATGTGGCATTAGGACCTGAGGGTGACATGTTACTGTTCCGCCAGCTTAGGGAGAGACAGCAGCAGCAGTGGAGAGCTAGGGCAGCAGAGGCTAGCAGGGCGTTCGCAAGCGAAGCCGCTGCTTCAGCAGCGATGGCAACTGTTGCACAACAGAGTTCCCAGGCCAGCAGTTCAGGGACCGTAGGGTCAACGATTGTGCAGACCCTGAGTCATTCCACTGGCGTTTTGGCAAGCCAACCCATAGTGTTGACACCTGAAGAGGTCGCCATACAGCAGGCAACACTGCAAGAGGCATAGCTACAGAAGGCTTTAGGAGAGATAAAGGCAGAGAAGGAAAGAATGACCCGAAGAAGAGCCAGGTTACAGCGGAGACAAGCGGACGTTAGTGAGTTAGAGGGAATGGACCTGACACACATGGATGCAGATGTGAGGACGCTGCGGACAATCCTGCTAGGTGTAGTAGAAATGCAGGACCACCACACGACTCTCCTTCAGGACATCCAACAAAGTCTGGCCGTTTTGGTCTGGCGAGCGCAGGCAGGTCCATTGTCGTCCGGGCCCGGTGCCTGGCCCGTTGTACGTCCTCCTCCTTTTGTCCCACCAATGATTGGGGTATCCGCATATGTTTCTCCAACATCGGTCCAAGCCGCTTCCCTAGGAATGCCGCTAACAGGAGGGTTCTCAAGAGGTCCTAGTGTACAAATTCTTGTACAGACAGTGTACTACCAACCTCCGTCGCAGGTTGCCGTGACAGGGCAGCTGCTGTCTCGCAGCCTGCACAGCCGCAGGACACACAACCCCAGCAGCAGCTAGTGCAACAGCCTGTTCCCCAAGGTCCACAGTCTGGAGTGGGACAGGTGCCGGGACTAACACCGTGGGTTCCAAAGACGGCTATCGCCTCGCCCAAACCCTTTTCAGGGGACAAGAGGGACGAAGACCTTGACACATGGTTGAGCTCAGTGCCAGTCTATGTCAAGTGTAAACTGACCTTGCCGCACGAGGAAGTGCTTGTGGCTGCCTCCTATCTAGAGGGGAGCGCAGCAAGATGGTTGAGTGGTTTAGTACAAGTACAGGGATACAAACATGACTTCCGCGCTCGGGCGGTCAACCAGAAATTGGATGACTTTCTTAAGCTGGTGGAAGAAAGGTGGCATGATCCTCAGGAGTCTCAAAAAGCCACTGATGCAATGCTGACTCTGAACCATAGACAATTCAAGTCAGTAAGAGAGGCCACAAACGCAGTAGAGCGTCTGATTTGTGTCCCTGGGGTGCGCTATGACCCCTAGGTTTTACTCGCCTCCTACCTGATATGTTTTCCTATGCCTCTCAGGAATCAGTAGGCAAGCGAGGCCAACATCAACATGCACAACTTCCCCTCGTTTAGCAAGAAGGCCCTAGACCTGGAGGCAAAGATAGGGCATGGACAAACACCCACAATGGACTGTAGGAAAAGTCACTGCCTCCCAACTGGAAGGCGAAGGGTCGCATTATGTTCGTCGACAACGATGGTTCTACCATCGAGTTGGAAGACGACTTCCAGGCGGGAGTGGTTTCAGAGGCAGGCAGCGTAGAGGAGTACTCGTTGCCTCAGTACAGAAAGGTAAGGCAACCGGTAGAGGTCGTGGAGGTTCCCGGTCTAGCAGTCAAGTTGACCCCAATGCTCCTCCATGGGAGAAAGCGGGTCTAACAGAGGACGTGTGGAAAGACCGTTACACCCGGCAGACTTGTATCCATTATGGCCAATATGGCCATAATCAGTTCAAGTGCCGTAACAAAAAGGTGACCGAGAAGATCCCGCCTATGATGGGGCAGGCGTTGGGATCCTCCGCTCCCGTTGGTAGCAATGTAGCCAGCAGTTCTGGCACTGCTCCGGGAACCACGTCGGGCTGGTAGGAATAGTTGTTGTTCCTGCTACGGTAGAGGTGGTGGACACACCCTCACCATCTCGAGAGATGGCCCAAGCTATTGACTCCGTCGTCGTCCCGCAAGCACATTCAGACCCATCGAGCCTCTGTTCAGGGAATGTGGTTGAGTCCTTAGAGGAGCTAGAGGAGAAGTGCTCTAGATCAGACCCGCTAGCTTCTTGGACGACAATGGCTAAAGGCCCTAAGGGTGAGATGTTCATCGACGAGGTAGTCACCGGTGGTCGCAAGGCCGGGGCTTATTATGACACTTGCTCGACGCAGAACTTTATTAGTCGCGCGTGCGTTGAGAGGCTGCGCTTAGAGGGGCAAGTGCAACGCCTGAGTCGACCTGTGGAGTCGACCTGTGCCAACAAACAACGCATGGTAGTCAACGACTACCTCAAAGACATTGAGTGTCTTTTCCTGTACGCGGGAGGGGAACTGAGATATCGAGTCTCGTTCCTAGTCAGCGATGATCTCCCTATGGATATCTTGTTAGGTATGTACTACTGCTCCGTTGCACAACCCCAGTTTGACTGGGACCGAAAAGTGGTCAAATACACTTTGTCCGGAGGAGGGACCGCCAGATTACGCGAGTTCAAGGCTAGTAGTCTGATCGAGTCCTACAGATGCATGTGTGCGGCCGCGTTCTAGAACTATTATAAGCAAAATCCGGAGGAGGGTATGTACTTAGTTTACGTCTCTGCAGAAGGTGAGCCGGTGAAAACGCCTCCAGAGATAGAGGGAGTGGTCGCTAGGTACCCTGATCTATTTGAAGAGCCGAAAGGGGTTGTTGAGAGGGAGGTCGTCCATGCGATAGAGATTATCCCAAGGTCTAGCATTCCGAAGGGTAGGATCTATAGGATGTCTCCAGGTGAGCTCGATGAGCTTCGCCCGCAACTCAAGGATCTCATAGAGAAGGGTTGGATTCGGCCGAGTGTCTCCCCTTACGGATCGCCACTCTTATTTGTACCGAAGAAGGGGGGAACTTTGAGGATGTGCATTGACTATAGGGGCCTCAATGCCATCACTGTGAAGAACGCAGAGCCCCTACCGCGCATTGATGACTTGTTGGATCGAGTGCAAGGGTGCCAGTAAGATAGATCTGAAGTCCGGGTACCATCAGATTGCAATCTGGCCCGAGGATCAACACAAAACCGCCTTTCAGACCAGGTACGGTCTGCAAGAGTTTATGGTGATGGTTGTTGGCCTTTGCAATGCTCCTGGCACCTTTCAGCACTCGATGAACCGAATATTTCATGACTACTTGGACAAGTTTGTCATCGTGTACCTCGATGACATACTTATCTTTAGTAGGACTGTCAAGGAGCATCTAAGTCCTTAGCCTCCTCAGACAGCACCAGTTCAAGATCAACCGGGAGAAGTGAGTTTGGCCACACCCGGATCTTGTACCTGGGTCGTGAGGTTTCCGCGGAGGGTTGACGCGAAGGTGGCCAACATTCGTGAATGGCCGCGTCCTCAGTCTGTGATTGAGATGAGGTCCTTCTTAGGGATGACCGGCTACTACCGCAACTTTGTTCAGAATTATAGTATAGTGGTCGCCCCTTTGACGGACGTGACACGCCTTGACACCCCATGGGAGTGGACAGACAGGTGTGAGGCTGCTTTCAGACATCTGAAGCATGCGTTGACACACCATGAGGTCTTGAAACTTCCTGATCCTGACAAACCTTTCGTTGTGACTATGGATGTCAGCCAACATGGCATTGGGGCCGTACTTGTGCAGCAGGAGGGGAAAAAGTTGCGGCCAGTAGAGTACATGTCCAGAAAGATGCCCTCTCAAAAGTTGGCCAAGTCCACCTATGAGAAGGAGCTCTATGTGATCTATAACGCGCTAACCCATTGGACGCACTGCCTCCTAGGTCACTTCTTCTATGTCAGGAGTGATCATCAGACCCTGAGATGGATGAAGACTCAACCGGTACTCTTCGACGCTCTGAAGCGTTGGATCAAAGTCATTGAGCAGTATGACTTCGAACCCCAGTACATCAAGGGGGAGTACAACAAGGTTGTTGATGCGTTGTCGCGTAGGCCAGATTTTCTCAGTGCATTGGTCACTGAATTTGGGCTTATGGATGATGTTACTCACTCTTTGGTGGAAGCCTATCGCGAGGAACGATTCACATCAGAGATCATACGCAGACTCGTGGCGAAGGATAAAGCTACGTCTGAAGAGTTTGAGTTGATCGATGGCTTGCTGTTCCTTGAGAAGGCCGGGAATAAACGTCTTTGTGTGCCTAATCGGGAGTCTTTGCGTAGTTTATTTATAGGAGAGTGTCATGATGCCACCGAACATTTTGGGTATAGAAAGACTGCAGCAAATTTGTCGCAGCGGTTCTGGTGGCCCACGATGATGAGAGATGTCAAATTGTATGTTGAGACTTGTCAAGTTTGTCAACGTGACAAGCCCCGGACACAAGCTCCTCTTGGGCTTCTCAAGCCCCTTCCCATTCTGGAAAGGCCTGGTGAAAGCATGTCCATGGATTTCATGGATACACTAGTCACCAGCTACGTCATCGTGGATAGATTTAGTAAGTATGCTAGATTAGTAGCTATGCCCGAAACAGCAAAGACCGAGTACGTGATCAGACTATTTAAGGAAAATTGGGTTAGAGACTTTGGCCTACCGGAGTCTATAATCAGCGACAGGGATGTTTGATTCACCAGTGATTTGTGGAAGGCCGCCGAACAAGGAACGCAGTTGCAGATGACATCTGGAAACCCCTCGGAGGCAAATGGACAGGAAGAGCAGATGAACCACTGTTCAACACTTGTTGAGGCATTACATGAAGCCTAATCAAGTGGACTGGGATGAGAAGCTCACTCTCATCGCCAGCCTGTACAACAACGCAGTTCATAGTGCTACGGGAGTAAGTCCTAACAGCCTACTACTAACATTCAAACCTAGACTCCCTCTTGACTTTTTGCTACCTGACAATCAGCCCACTGCTGCTCCAGGAACTTTGGAATTTGCTTATAGATATGAGAAGCATATGTAGCAGGTTGTAGAACACATGCACAAAGCACAAGCGGCGATGATCGAATCTGAGAACAAACACTGCCGCCCATCCTCAGGTAGGGGACAAAGTCTGGCTCAAGGCTTCTGAACTGGGACAGGAGCACAAGATCTCCCGTAAGCTCATGCCATAGTACTTTGGACCATGGGAAGTTCTGGATGTAGTTGGAAATGAACCAGACAGGCCCTCATATGTTATTCGAATCCCTGGACACCTTCGTACCTACCCTGTTTTTCACGCCTCCAAGCTCGCACCATTCGAAGAAACTGATCAGTTTCCCACTCGTCGCTCAATGCTGCCCCCAACCATGGACGGAGAGGTCGACATCGACGACATCGTGGACCACAAGGAAATGTCGGTTCCAAGACCAACAGGCAGGGGACGTCCTCCGAAGCCGAAGCTGCAGTACAGAGTTCGGTTCATACATCACACTGATCTAAAGGAGGATAGATGGTTCACACGGGAGGAACTGGTGCAGACCGCACCGCAGGTTGTCGCCCACTATGAGAAGGAAAGCGCCAGATTGAATGAACTTCTCAGAGGACTAGCGAAGTATGGAGGAGGGAATGCGAGGCTCAAGGCCTCGATCTGCCCTACTGGGCCCTATTTTCTGTATGGTCGGCCGCCCTAAGTGAAGGCAGGCTCGACCCAGTGCCTACAGGCCTGTTTTGGGGTCACCACGCAGCTGGGTAAATTTAGGCAGTTGCGCAGCGCCAGTTGGTTGAGAGCACCCAAGCCCAGGCTGCCTCTTTTTTAATGTAACCGAGGCCAGCCCTGGGCCAGATTCGCAAGATGGACTGAAAACAGGCCGCAGGTAGTTGAACACGGGCAACCACCACACGCCCAGGGCCTGATTAGTTTGGACCGGGGCTCGGCCTCTCTGGGCCTACCGGAAGCTTCCGGGCAGGGACCCAACATAACCAAGCTGCACGCAAGGCAGGCAGGCCACTTCCATTTAGGAAAGGGCCTGCCCACACATTGAGCATTTAGGCACTGGCTGCATGTTGCGCAAGCGTTGCTGAGCTAACGCTGGCCAGCGCTCACGCGCTCACGGGCGAGCTGGAAGGAGCAGGCAGCCAGTGCCGAGCTACGCTGCTATATGCTGGATGGGGGGCATGGTGATTCTTGGGTGCATGTGGCATCTGTGAGTTGGGGATCGAGGTTGTGAGTGATACGAGGGACATACCTGGTGCTTGAGGCGAACGGCATTGGCCGATATCTGCTCGCACTTCGGGTAGCTGTTGACGTCATTAGCGACATTATAGATAGGCTAGATAGGATCTGCCATTTGTAGTTTGGGCGTAGAGCGCCAGATAGGATATCGACATTGGTTCTTCGTTGATTATGATGAGACTATTCCCGCATTGTCAATTATGAGTTTTTGCTGTGCTCTTATTTGGTGGAACTTGTGATGCAATTCTGCTATGGGTTTGAGGTCACGACTATTTGGTCTCATGTGTATAATGCTGTTTGATTTCTGAAGTTCGCTATCGCTCATTTTCCTTGCAAGATGAATAAAATAAAATAAATAATAAAAATAAAGAAAAAGAAATAAGCAAAACGTGAGGAGAGGAAGAATATTTATTTTTTTGGAATTTTCAGCAGCATTTCCCTACCCCCCATGGGGTCAAAAATGTGCCAAGAGGAAGGAGAGACTAAGAGAAGCACACTAAGTCTTCCAATGCTGCAAATTATTTTTTTTAGAAAAATAAATAAAGAAATAAAGAAATGATGAGGTGGAGGAGAGTGAAGAGAAAACTAAGTTTTGGATTTTTCAAAATTTCGGCAGCATTTCGTTACCCCCATGGGGTCGAAGTGTGCCGCCAGGAAGAATGACCAAGTAAAATGGAAAACTTTTGCCAGCACTTAGCTAACCCGAAGGGGTCAAAATGTGTTGGAAGCAGAGAGTAGGGAGAAAAGAGAAAATTTCGGCAGCTGTTTGTTATCCCGAAGGGTCAAAATGTGCGCCGATAGCAGAAATGATTAAGTCCTAACAAGACATAGAGTTGCCGCAGGAAAAATATGAATTTTCAGAATAAATAAAAAAATAAAAATTAAACAAATTAGAAAATGAGAAAAGAAGTGGGGAATAAGATAATTCGATGTTTTGGAGAAAAAGATGAAATTTAAATCAAAGAGAAAGACGAAAGAAGAAAAACAGAAAAATTCGAAGTTTGGGGGGAAGAGGGGAGGTGGAATGAAAAGAGGTGATGAAGAAAGAGAGAAATAGGTGAGAAAGCTAGGCTACCAGCCAGGCCGCCCGGGTCACCCTATTTTCTTGGGCAGCCCAGCCGTGCAAGGAATAGCGAATGTCCCAACAAAAAAAAAAAAAAAAAAAAAAAAAAAAAAAAAAAAAA